ATCAAGTTGCAAAATCACGCAGAAGTCCAGATAGTCATCATGTACCAAGAAGAGAGTTCAAATGCACCAAGATTCCATCCAAATAAGAGCAAAGCAGTGAACTCGTGTGCCAATGTTATCACACAGAGGTCCCTTTCAGGGCCTGCCCGGTTGGGGTACCGATTCTAAAAAAACATCACCATTATTTTTTTGGGGTACCCCAGACCCAGGTAAATGGCCTGGGAACCCCAAATGTTTTTAATTTTTATTTTTGAAATCGGGGTCCAACCGGATCCTCCAAACCGGACATTGGACCCGGACACCAGACACCGGACTGTCCGGACCGAGATCCGGACGTCCGGTTGGTAACCATGTTTTGATATGTGATTGGAAATACCCTTTCTGAAGCAAGTAAAAGGTTTAAGCATATGGTTAAGTATTCTATACGAGTCAAATAGATTCAAATTTTTTGAGGGTTTGACATAGGTTAGCAATTATCCTTTCATCCAGTGTTATGTATGATGGAAACAGGGAGGGGAGACGCCAAATGTCTATGTGACGATCCGGGGCAGCCAACTGAAAAATTCCCACGAGAAATGAAAGTTGAAAAAACATTCCATAAAGAAAAAATCCTTCATATTTATAAATTATCATTCCAATGTTCGTCCAGTTCTAGAATTTTCAGTTTTATTTGATAAGTTCCCGTCTAAATATGAGTTTTCCCTTCCATCTACATCTATTTGTTTAAGATGGAATGAAAGTCTGAACGAGTTTGTAAAATATTTTAATTTAATTTTTATTTTACTACAACAAATATCTTCTAATTTAGATTGGATTAACCTATTTATGACTGAAAATCCTTACTTAGAATGACAGTCCAATTAAAATATTTCATGAACTCGTCCAGACTTTCATTCCATCTCTAGCATGCAGTCCAAATAAGAAGGGATACCCTATTCTTGGAATGAAAGTTTGCAAGTAAGATGAAAATTTTTAAAATTGGAATGACATTTTTTAAGATGTAATGAAAATTTGAAATTTAGATTGATATTTTACTATCGAATGATTATTTAACTCTAGGAAATTTTTCCGTTGGCATTAAAGGATCCCCACAATCTCTAGTTCAAGCATGTCTAAAATATAAACCCACCTACCCTGTTCAGAGTCTGCTACTGAGTAGGTTATCTTACCTCTG